ACTGATCACCCGTCCTTGTTTCTTCCTTTCCACCTCACCTTCTTTCCAATATTTCACTTTCTATTCCCACTAAATATATTGCCATCACCTCTCTGCTCTGGTGAGCTCACTCCAGCTTCAAAGCACTGTTATTAATGAATGCAGTCAGAGATAACGTCATGACATACACGCAGGCTTCAACACAGTCATACATTTAAACACAGCTGTAACTTCAACCCCGTGCAACAGCAGATCCTTCCTCAGGAAGGCAAATCAGGTGAAGCGCTTCACTGAACCGGAGCCTGAACTTCCACAGGTTCTTCCTCCCTCTTCATTTTTGTCCCTCCTCCTTTCTCAAACTACCTCTTAACAAGGTATAAAGTCACCTCTGTCTTTGAGCAGACAGAGCTCCTCCAGAATAACGTTAAGCATGTGCAACTCCCTGCAAGATTTGGAACACAGACAGCCAGTTTCTAAAGGCCCAAAGACTCTTCTCTTCATAACCTATTTTACACTTTAATCACTGTGCTTTTCTTATAACAAAACATTCATATCTTTCTTTGATCATTTCTCTCATTTAGGCTCCCATAATTTCCAACTCATCCACTTCATTCTTTAGCACATATGACCTCATTTAGTTTCCTTGTAACTGCAGATGAGAAATTAAAAAGGCCCAGAAAAGAACATCAAACAGACTACTGAATTTGGGTCATTACCCACAAAGCATCCCAAGACAGTCTGCCTTAGCTCGTCAGCTAAAGTTCACTTGCAATGTTTCCCTCTCCCTAGAAAGGGAGATACGGAGGACTAATAACTCTCATCACACCAACTGATACAGCCAGAAAGTTTGAAAAGATGTCAAACGTATAACCTTGACAGTTTCTTCAAGACTTCCACGCCTAAAAGCTTATCTCTATTTTTGTAATTGCGTCAGAAAAGTGTTTTTTCAAGTCAGCCATTAGAGTTACAACTATTCTATAGAGTAGTACATACAAGGATTGACTTGCAAGGGTCTCTTCGTAGCAGCCATTTCATCAGAGCACCTGAACCTGTTTAACTTTCAGTACGCTGAGCCTATTCACCTGTTTTAAAGCAATAACATGCTTAAATGTTTTAATGGACCAAGGCCAGGGTATGCAGCAGCTTTTTTTTTTTTTTTTCAAACCTTTGTTCTAAATACAGATCAGGAAAGCACATCAACTTTCCTGCAGTGAAATCTGTTTTTCTTACCCAAAGCGATTTTTCATACTTAAGATTTGTAGGTGTTCCGTTTTAAATTAATACAGGATATTGTACCATTCTTCTGAACTGGTTTTCGTGACCTGCTTTTACCTTATATCCAACAAACAGAAAATCTGCAGCCCCTGCCTTTCTGTGTTTGCTACTGATATTTGCATAGAGAGTTGCTAGGGAAAGGTTATTCCATCTGATTGATTTCTAAACTTTGCCTATAGCGTAAAGGAGTAAGATGTTATGTTTTGATTTACAAACCGGTCTTGACCCAGACCACTGAAAATCTCAAACCAACATGAAGCGTAAGCGTTATTCTTCTACAAGTTGAGCTGGCCAGCCTTTCCCCCAGGAAAGCGGGGAACTGCATCTAAGCGATAAGCTGCCTCCTCCCCCTCATCTGTGCGTTTTTAAAGCCAGAATTTCAGTTCTGCCAACTAACTAGCCTCCAACTGATTGTTGAGCAGACAGTAACAGACATCCAGGAATAAATTTGCAAAGTGTATTTTATTTAACTTATTTCATAGTGAATCCCTAAGCTTCCCGAAAACTTGCATCGTCACACACGATCCAGATTTCAAGCTACTACAAACAGTGAAGAATAACTAACACTAAAAGGCCACGTGGAGAATAATGAAAACCTGCTAGCTGCAATAAAATTAGTATTTCCAGAAAATTATCGAGTATTGTCACTGAACACATAATTTGTGTCGACCTATGTTCACATACATCTTTAGGGAGTTATTACTGTATTATAATGTATTGTGTTTCCATGAAAGGTTATAAAAGTGTGGTTGATTAGGGTACCGACACCATAAACTTACACTTCTTCCCTAGGGCAAATTTATACCTAGCTATCAAAATACATTACTGCATTACAATCAATTGTTTTTCCTTACAGAGTATGGTTTAAAAAAAAAAAAAACTCTTTAAAGGGAGCAAAGGTATAGTCACCTAGTATTCAAAGCAAGAGCTCTTCTTTTTTTTTTTTTGCTATAGCTCCAGTTTCTTCTAAATTCACAACGCACACACGTAGGCGATTGCCAGTGAGGAAGCCCGTACTGTATTATACATTTATTGCCCTATTTAAAAAAAAAAAAAAAAAAC